TTTACATATTAAAAACAAATGAAAATACATTGCAGTATTGTATGTTTTAAATAAAACATCTGGTCTATATTAGTTTCACTTGTGTAACAATATACATATTAACACATTTATGCTCACAGCTCGTACTTGCAGAGCGATTCCACAAAAGTCTAAAGTCTGGAGATAGCTGGACTGTTTTATGGAAGTTCGACTCAAAGGGTAAAGGTCACTTTGCTTGTTCTTAATAAAAATAAATTAATACTAAAACTACAATATCACTGACGCATTCTCTAAAACACTTGTATTAAAAAACATTTTTATATTCCTACTTGTAATATTATAATATCTCTCATGAAACTTTTCAGAACAACAGAATAAAATCAATGATTTTAAACTGGTGATACCAGAATTCTGTAAGGACTTAAATATATGTGAGCACATACCCAATTATCCTCAAGAATTTGTAAACAGTGTTTTACATAAGGTATTCTTTTTTATTTATTTTTCAAACTGTGTCTTATATAAAATAAGAATTTCGCATTTATATACACTGAATTCTTTTTTCGCATATACTACGGCAAGTACCAATGTGATTGTTCCGAGTCATATGTACTTTCTAAGAGTATTTAGACACCATTGACAGACGGTGAAGAAAAACATTATGAGGAAACCTGGACTTATAATTTCACAATTATAAGTTTGAAATCACCAACCCGTCTTGAGCAAGCGTTGTGGTTAATGCTCAAACCACCAACACGAGAAAAAGAGGCCTTTGGTTAGCTGGGGGTTCTGATAGGCTAAAAAAAATACTACGAGCTAATTAAAGAATACTAATTACTAATCTATCGTTTATTAAAGATTCTCTCGTCGTTTAGATTACTTTACAGCCACCATGATCCGAAAAACACGGTCATTATAATGTGTAGTTGCGAAAATATATTACTAATAACGTTCATTAAAATTAAGTCTCCAGACGTTATAACCATACAGCAACTTATTCACTAGTTATTATACTTTAGTCCTGCCGTAATCAAAACAGAAAATAATATTACTCGAAGCTACTAGTAGAGTGATTATGTAAATTTTAACATTATAAAAGTGTCTTACTTTAGCGAATATCATTATGAATAGAGGTTCTATAGGAGGTTTAATAGAATTTTTTAGCGAAAGGAAACTTTAACATAAAGGTAATCGATTTAAAAAGTTATATGAGAATAGCTAAATGTTTCTTGAAACATTTTAGCTACTTGAGACGTTTTTGGATTTGAATGAAGATATGAACCAGTTAGAAGTACCAAGCAGAGATGATTTAATATTGGAAAGCGAGCAGCTATGTAATTCCAAGCAAAAGGTACGTAAATCTAGTATTTTTATAAGGAACCTTTAAAAGCTAGGATAAATACAATCACTAGATCTTTGATTCACTTAATAATTTTTAGGTGTTCATTCCTCTAGCAGTACGTAGTAAGAAAGACACGTGGCATTTAGTTTTATCTTCTCCTTTGTATCCTCAAACCTTCATTGGAGAAGTGTGCAGGTATTTTTTAAATAAATTAAATATTGATTTAAAGTACGAAGTGTGTACGAGGTGCACTCGTACTTAGTGACTGCTTCACTTCCATATAGCTTCAACAATACTTACGACTTATATGAAAGATTAAATTGTTTCGAGGGACATGTATTGTGTATATTGAATGTGTAGGAGGGGTTCAAAATATGTAATTTCATTAAAATTTACAAGTTGTTTTAGCATAATGCTGTAATGGACATCGTTTTGTAGGTAGTGATCATGCTATACTTTTGGTTTTAACTCACAGTCACGGCTCTATTTAAGTTTAATTAAATGTATACATACATGTTATATTTTCTCACATTTAATTTTATTACGAAACCAAAAATTTGGCGTCTGGTAATGTTTGTAACTCATTACTTATAAATTATTTACCAGAAATGTAATCACGATATATAATATCTAACGATAAATAATTATTACTACTGCGAAAGATTTTTCATAACCTAATTTATTTATTCACTCTTATCATAGCAAATATTTTTATAAATATTCGATGAAAAAATTACGAATGAAGAAGAAAATAAACCAAAACAATGATTGTTATGACATTTATATATTAATTACTTTTACAGGTCAAATGATAATGACACTTCAAACTGTTCGAAAGCCATAGTTTTATTGAACTATTACGGAAAATGCGTTCAAAAATATATTCAAAGAAAAATGATAGCTTTAAATGAAGAGATGAATAAAGTCATTTTTATTTTAGTGGATATACCGAGTTGTTGTTCCTGTAATATGATTAGAATTTAATAGTAAATGCTGGTTTTGGGGACAAAGTTGTTGATGGTGGTCACATTTTATTAAAATAATTGCTTACTTGGAATTTTGTTTTATTACATCATCTAAGGACCACTCTTAAGTTTGTTTAATGAACTGGAATTACCATACAAGTGTGATAAATTAATATTGTAATCTTGTCATACGTATGCCACAGAAGTTTACATCATGGTTTCCCCATAGCTTGTTTACAATTAAGATTTAAAATCAACAGTCTGAAAGACTGTAACTATTAGATATTTTATTTCATTACACGAACAATAATTTTCATAAATTTATCATTTTACTTAGTTTTCCTACACGTTTAGACAAGTTTAGGGGTATATAGCTAAAATATTTTGGTATTTAAACTTAGAGAGCTAGAGTATATCACGAAAAAGGTAATAATATAGTTACAAACTTTAAGTAATTCCAAATCACGATGAAGCAGTTGATGAGAATAAATAGTTAAATCGCTCATATTGATCAGAAATAAATAAATATAGAAAATACGTGTTGCGTCAAGCGATAAAAAGTAAAGCATCTTATCATATCTTATTGAAGAAATCGAAGAACTTTGAAAAAGAGCATCACAGGTTTTAAATACAAGTTAGTTTATAACTGCAGTTTTTCCGAGTTATTATGAGGTAGTTCCCAATAATAGATACGTTCAATATGAGGAACATGCTATGTAATCATTGCTAGTAATTTCTTCATATAAAATAACTTATTTAAATGGGTAATATTACATTTAATTCTGATATACAAATCTTGTGCTTTTTATAAACTCGAAATGACACGGAGAAAAGAAAATCTATGTAAACGCATCAAAAACAAATGTGTTTGAAACGTTAATTTCAAGACTAAGTGCTCAGTTATAGGTTAAAAATATAAATTTGATAAAGAACTAAATTTCTCTAGAGATAGATTTCGTTTAACATATACTCACTCTGTCGAAGATCAAGGAACAGTTTTTGTAAAATATCGATTAATGTATTAGTATAAGAATTTCAACCGAAATTTGTAGCCGTAAAAATTCTAAACCATCGAAATTCTTCTGTAAAACTTTTTATTTACAACATCAGCGGGAATGTGTGCAACGAAATTAGTCTCTGGTATGTTTTTGTTTTCAAACAGAACTATTTTAATATAACCTTTACATCGGGAGTTTTCTCATTTTGCTCGCTTAAGAGGTCAGATTCAAATCTGCATTGGTTTTTCATGCATAGATAAATAGCTTATTTACTTTAAACATGATGACAAACTTTAAATGATCTTGTGTATTTACTAATTACTTTGCGCTTTGAATAATAACTTCGCTTCAACTTTATTAATATGTGTATATTTGGTATGTAATCATAATAAACGAAGCTAAAATTAGATTCCGTAAAACTATAAATAAATATTTTACAGTATATATTCGGATTTAATACCAATTTGTCGTTTGTAAACAGAGACGTCAGCCTTGCTGACGTCAATAATATCAATAATTTCGGTACGTTCCACGATACTTCAAAAAAAACTTTTTTTTTTTTTATTATTCTTGTATTTCTGGAAGGTTCTTTATTCCGTTTTGGTACGCACTGCTCTGCAGTGTAATCAATCTTCATATTTATACCAAAATAAAAAACAATTCTATTCTTATTTAAATAGTTTTTCATTTTGTAATACTTATAACAAAAATTATGGCTAACAATAAAGTTTTGTAAAAATGCAATAACTGATGACATCAACAAGGTAATTTTATGTTGCATCCGTCATTAGAACTGATATCGCCGACGCTCACACATATATGTATTATGTATATAGCTTTACGACATCCAGAATTGGTAAAATTGTGATGGTGTCCTTTAAAGCAGAAAAAAATTACTACGAAATAAGCCGATGGTCGTTTTTTTATATGTAAGGTTACCCACCTTAGGAGTTAATTAGAGTTAGATATATCATATGATAAAACAAACATATAGCCAAATTAAACTTATTAATAACTGCGAGGAGATTACCTCAATTTGTTTTAGAATTGTCTATGAGAACTTTTTTTTTAACTTTAAAATTCAATTAATTATGTTTTTTTAAACAAAGACTTATGCAAATAATTTAATTAATGTTTCTTATGCATAATATATTATTTAATCTAATATATATGTATTACGATTTAGAATATCTTTAAATTATATTTATATCTAATGTACATTATATAAAATAAATATATAGTGTAATTTAATTGATTTCCATATCATAACTTCATTCGTAATGACCTATAAATTATTGGCATTATGTATTATTGTGTATGTGACCGAAATTTCACTGCATTAAAGGTAAAATACGTCAGTTATTTCATTTACTTGTCAGTTAGAGTATTAAATTAAACGAAGTTGGATTTTTGTGGCATGAATAATGAATGAAAGTTTTAAAGGCTTCAAAAATGTTGGTTAACATATTTATTGATATTTTCATAAAATGCACACTTTTTTTTTTAATGTTATTTCTTTTTATTGGAAAAATAATTTTATTCTGCATTGTATTATATAAAGGTCTAATATTGCATGTTTTAAAAAACCAAACTTGTTGCCGGTATTTCATTAAAAGGATCTAAAACCGAGCAGGAAAATGTGGATTTATTTCAGAATATAAATTCGTTCAGAAGTGGTTTTTCAGGACAGTTTACTAGTAAACTTCAGTATAAACAATGGTGCGTTCGAGCTTTTTAACTTATTTTATTAAGGTAAATAATAGTATGTTCATATTTTCCTTTCCTTTATTCTTATATTTGTAGAACACTAGCAATACTTAATTGATTACCGGCAGAAACGGACGCCAGTTATATCCTTCCATCACAAAAAATTTATATACATAATTATGGTTAGAGCTTTGATTAATTCAGTTAATATATGAAAATATAAGATAATTAAGTCATATTTTATATAGAAATGTATTGTTTATATTGTGTTATATTTCAGATTATTTTGTACATCTCTGTGTCAGTTGAATCAAAATCAAGAAATCAAAAAACTGGTAAGTCACTTCTTTTATTTATAGCTAAATAAAACTATTCATTTTTAATTCGTTTTTTGTGAAATGTTTCTCACAAATAAAAAATAATTTTGTGGCAATTTTATGACTTCATTGTTTCAGTTCTTCTATCGTGGGAAGAGAATTATTATATTAAAGAACTCACGGTTGATGATGTACCAGAGGATTGCCGAAAAAAATATATTTGTTCAAACATCACAATTTACAATACTGAATTTGTTAATAAACTTCTTTTAAAGGTAAAAGAAGTAAATAACTTAATTATTGCTTAATATTTTATGACATAAACCTTAGCATTTCGTGTGATTATATGTACTTACTAATTTTCTTTTTATTTTTACTCAGTACGTTACAATATATCTATTAGTTACATTAATATTAACATTTAATTTCAGCTTTATTCACAAAAAAGAGTCAAAAGATTTAACGAAGATAAGCTGACAGTACTTAACTCATATGGTTTAGGAGAAATTGAAGAACTATGTGCTTCGAAAGAAGAGGTAATAGAATGTTCAACTGAACTGTTTTTTCTTATTTATACTTATTGACAAAATAATAATTTTGTTAAGAAATTTTACATATTCACTCGTTACAAACCTGCGTATTTATTAAATGATTTAGGGGAAATAGAGAACTAGGGTTATTTACTTCTCGAACGCAAATAAACCGCCACTTACTGACAGTAATCTGTAGGTCAAAGATAAATACAGCATTTAATGAAGATAAATTGTAATTGCTACGCATCTTGATAACTCTCATGTAGTCAACAGTATATTAATTGTTATGTCATAGATCATGTGGCCCCAAGCAGCACTGGACGATAAACATCAATGGCAGTATATAGTGAACACAGGAGAATTTCCATTTCAAGGTTTCCGACTAAATAGATGCATAGAAAGGTGAGATAGTATAATTATGTAAATATAACAATTAATTCATACCGTTAAAAACATATCGATTTTGCAAAAAAAAAACCGCTTGTAGTATATATTATTTTTGAATAACAAATTAAAGCTGTAATAGACATGATATTTCGATATTTAAGAATGTGATTTTTTTTTATCAAAATTAATAAAATACTGTAAAATATATAACCATGCCATAATATTTTTTCCATGTTTATAGAGGCTCACGTTGTTCAAAAGCTGCGATTTTCTATGGATTTAATAGTTCGTGTGAACAAGAGATAACTCTAAGAAAGATGGTTTATATAGATGTAAAGAATAAGCAACTCGCAACAAACTATTTTCAAATACCAAGTTGTTGTTCCTGTAAAATAACATCATTAGATCAATATTGATATTTAATGAACTGTAATGTTGTTATAATTTAAAGTATTATTGTTGATTTTTTGTTAAAAAGTTTATTAGTGAATATTCATTGAATGTTTTATAAAATGAGAGAACCGAAAATAAACATGTTTTCATTAATTTCACTTGTTTTTTTTTTTATTTTAAAGAACGAACATAAATGTAACATTCTCTTTGAACAAATCAATTTCCCTAGTTCTACGAATAGAATGAAAGAAAAAAAAATGGAATTCTGATAAAAACCTTTTGTCAACATGTTGATTAAATTTATTAAAAGAAATATATAATTTTTTGTATTACTCTTTTTCATAGCTATGTATCTTAGCTGATGTGTTTTGCTACTATATTAATAGGTTTTATTTTCTACAAATTTCTCTTTAATTTAAGTTTAAATTTTAAACCAATATATTTAATAGAAATGCACATTGCACAACCAACCAATTTTCAAAACTATAAACCCCATCATAATTTCTAATTTCATGTAAAGGTACGTGAAAATGACGCAACTTTTTATTTTTTTGTAGCTAATTTTCTATGCAACATTATGTTAAGGTATTTTTTCTTTCGTTTTAAATGGTTATAAATGAATTACTTTTTCGTTGAAATTGTTCAACATAATCAAAATCACAAAAAACTCTTCGTATAAACAAGTATATTTTGACTTATTCTCAGCAAACTAATTAGAAACCCATATTGTAGGAGTGTATTAAAACATATATTGTCATGAAAAATAAACATGTTCCTTCAGTGTGGGTTAATAGATTCAATACATCTGTCACCTAATCTACAATGGCGTTGCAAGATTTTTTTTTTTATTAAAATCGCTAATGGTATTACATTTCATTATAGAGGACTAATATCTTTAATTACGTACGTTTCACCGCGTACGTAAGTAATAAGCAAAATAAATATATTATTATACCAATAATGAGGAAAATGTAACGGGACAGACGTAAGTAAATATACGTAACAAATGTGAATAGACGTCATATAATAATCTAAAGAAAGCAGCCACAACATATACATACATACAACTATTTCAAATATCTTGGATAAATATTTGAAAATCTTTCACATTGTTTATTAAATAGATAGAACAGGATCTTTTTTATTGTAAGTCTTTTTAAAGACTCTAAATATACAAACTATCGTAACTATTATTATTGTTTTATGATAAAGGTGTCAAACGATTGAACGGCCTACCTGATGGATGTACTACCGCTGCCCATGGACATCTGCAACATAAGAGTTGTTGCGGAAGTATTGCCACCCTTGATTAGGGTAGAGTGGTGAAGAAAGTGGGTAGGAGGAGGAAAAGGGGAGGGGTAGGAAAGGATGGGAAAAGGGAATAGGCGATCGGCTACTTCACGCAGATCTTGTGTGAGAGGGTGATACTTCCCCGGACGAGCCAGCCCATGTTCCAGCTGTAGTAACTTGACAACAGCTAGGTTCTACCACTGGAACTTAAAACTAATGCAAAAGCATCTTCATTTCTCCCAAAATACCTGTTTACTTGAATAGAAAAATATTTCATAATACATAATAATGGCTCGATGTTCCTTTAAAATTTTGAGAGATTTCCTAGTAAGCACTAATAGTACATACATACATATAATACCGTTCTTTAATATGTATATAGTTTCGCTTAACTCAAAAATAGTCAACATCTAAAGTATGTACAGACATCAAATGATATAAATAAAATCTGAAAAAGATTCAATATATCAAAACCGCTCGCTCATACTTGTTATAAGTTTAATTATTATAGTTAACGTTAGACCAAATTATGTATCCTTCGCAAATTTTTAGATACGAATAAAGAAATAAGTGTATAAATTTATATATATTACTCAATAATTTTTATTCTTAAATTATTCCTTACTAATTCTTTTACTAGAATTGTAAACAATTGCCTTAATTAATGACTAATAAATAAGCTTTGTTGGTTCATGTAAATTGTAATTCAATTATAAAAGAATAACATTTGGGAGAACTTACATTTTCTTGGTAATATTGTCACAAATGAAAAGTTAAATGTGGTTTTATGATAAAACATCTCATTTGAACATTACATGTTATATAATTGTCACATCTAAAAAGTAATTAATCAGTTTCTTTAAATACAATATTTCAAATCATAAACTGGAAGTAGTCCTGCTTAATCCAATTAAACTTAATTAAAACATTGGTTTGGTTTGGTGGCTTATCTTTTGAATATTTTAAAATAATCAAAAATTTTAATTTGTCTACATGATTTCATAGCTGTCATACTAAAACTATTATTAAGGGAATTTAATCATAATGTTTAGAAAAACTTTTCATGGAAACGTAATCTTTATCTTATTCCTCATACACAGCTTTTTTTAATATATAAGTTTTTTCTCGATGTCTTATAATTTCAGCTGATTAATAGATAAAGTTAACAGAACTACTTTTTAATATAATGAAATATTTGTAATATGTTGCTTAAAGACAACAAGAATATTATTCGGAGGTGTAGAAGTACATTATAAGTTCACATGTGTGTTTTCACTTCCACTTCACTATATTTCCTAAAATATTTTCTACGGGATAAGATTAAGTGATTAACTATGAAGAGATAAGCTACATGCTAGAAAAAAAATTTAGCCAATCTTAGCAAAAGTAATAAACATGACTTTCAAAGAGTTAATATAAATTTTAGAATTAAGTGTAAACTAAATGATTGATTAGTACATAAATCAAGAAATAAAATAAATTATGAAAATAAACTACTTTCTGCCTTCAATAGATATATTTGTTGAGAATTAAATAGATGATGAGATATCCAAATTTTAAAAGAATTTTAAGATATTAATCGTTTATACATAGAATGGATTTCAATCTGAAAATTAAACAATACAGTAGTCCATTGCAAACAAGTAGACACAATCAATAAACACCTGTATGTTTATCTAAGTTCACATCGTCACGCTAGATACGCATCGCTAACAGTTTATCATTCAAACATTACAGTAATAGCGTAGATTACCAAGTTAATAGTGTCGAGAAAAGTAGGGTTAATCTTTCTGATTTATGAATGACAAAAAAATTGTGTTTATAATTTAACGCAGTATTAAGATATATGAATAAAAATATTAGTGTATAAGGGGACCGTTACAGAAACGGATGCACCGTTATGTGAAAGGAAGATTATATCAGGTAAAATTATAAAGTATACAGTCCAAGGATTCACATACCTTAAGATGCCTGGGCTTATTAATACGACCTTTACAATTCCTAAAATATTTTAATAATATTCCTAATGTCATAAAAATAATGACATTTATTTTCAAATGACACATTCCTTTTGATTGTGAAAAAAAAATACATTAAAAACGTTGACGTTGGAAAAACATTCGAGGGTCGCAGTGCGAATGAAGCCATAGCATTTAAAAAAAGATATACAAACAACACTAGTTAATTATTAGAAATTTACGTATGCTCCTTTGACGTAGGACTCTTTATAAATGAAAGTAAAACCAAACTCATATATTTTAGTTCCACTTAAAATAACCGCACAGTTACCGAAAGCTTATTTCACGTAGCCACTTAAAACATGAGTACGTGTACATGTCAACCAATTGACCTAGTTAAAACTCATAAATGTCGTGGTGGTCTTGTCATAGAAGACCATTTGAAGTGGATAAAAGTTATAATTTTTTGTAAATTTTGTTACTAATTATAAGTCCCCCTATAAAGCAAGGCTGTTATTGGAAAAGACAGTTGTCGAATGTATAAATTCATATGTTCGTTTTAGGTTATGAAGAAGATGCAAGTCTCATGTTGACCCTAAATATCATCATAGACATTTTCAAATAATATGTATTACTTAAGAAATATTTTTCAAGAGTTCATCAAATACGATACGATATTCTATTTTCATACTATAAAGTAATACCAAAAAAACTATTGTTAACAACTATGTAATAAAAATAATAATAAAGGGCGTCCATGCCCATAAATAATATTTAAGGTCTTAATTGATACTGACCTACATATGTATGTACAATGTACATATATACTGGGTACATGATGAGCGCATGAAGATGCCCAATACTTTCGAGTGTGATTTAAATTCTCCCACCATTTTATAGTGTCTAGAATAAAGTACTGATTAGAATCAGATCCCTTGCGACATACGAGTATATATCTGCTGAATCATTACCAAAAGCAAAAATCTAAGCGTGAAATGTTTATTACAGCATCCACTCATAAAAATTCACTTTATTTTCTAGTATTACAGTTAAATCTGATATTGTTTTACAATAAATTTGAATTCCACCTACATTGCACCTTGATTAACAAGTGCTAAATCCTCTTCCTTATGTCGGAGTACTTAGCAACTTAATGTATAAAAACATATTTTACAATATGAATTATTTTAATGATTATTACCAATATCTCATATGAACTTCCATTTAATTATTATCGATATTAATTAATATGTACAATTTAATATGATATCTCCGTGATATCGGTATTTATAATTATGTCTAATTTAATATAACTGTGCAATAAAATACAAATTTTACGATAAAGCTCACCAGGAAAATCCATATATCATTGAA